AAAGCAGAATATGGTTACTAGGAGTAGACAGAACCATAATAAAAAAAATGAGGGTTTAATCTAATAGTTTTGTAATGGGTAGCAAAAATCCAGATACTGCAGGGTTGAAAGCCACTAATCCTTATTACATTATGGAAAACAATTGGTAAAACAATTCCTTGTAAAGGTAGACTACTTGCCAAAAGAACATGTAACCTCTGTGAACTTTCTGGAAGAATTCAGAGCATTGAAAAAACACAGAATGTTTATATATGGTGGCTGTTTTTTGTGCAAAGTTCTGCAACAAGATGTACTTGGACTATTGTTATGAGAAGTGATTTTAAAGAAACAGCCTTAGCTATAAACAGTTCTAGGTGTCCTCAAGTGTCCACATTAAAACTTCTCAGTTGGTTGGGCTCCATTGTAGTTTCAAAAGTTGTATTAATGATGATGCCTTCCTGCTAAACTAACATTTTCAGATAGTTTCAAAGTAGACACCATTAAATTGAAGGAAAGCAAAACTGTGCTGAGCAAAGAAACCAGTAAATATAAGAGGATAGTCTGCAAGCATAGAAACCTTGTCTAGATTAAATCTTTGGTTATGAATATGTTTCTATGGATCTATCAGTAACTAGACCCAGAACATACTGTTTTTAGGGATTGTGTTGATCTGCAAAAGCCAACATGTGTCTGACCTTTAAAGCAACTCCAGAAACCTTGCAACTGGCCTTGCCCACAAGTATGTGCAAGGAAAGAAGAGTGTCCAAGGCACATGTTTAAAATCAGACTAGTACGAAGTATTGATATTCCACATTAGAAAAAAAATTAAGAGTGTTCTTAAATAATTTTTCTCAGAGAATATTTACAATAAAGAATCATTGATTGAATACTGATACCAGTAATTAAGTTAATTCTAATAAACATTCTATCACAATTTACATATTAGACAATAACAATTTTTCACATAATTTGGTATAAAGTTGAGAAATATGGTCATACATGGGCTACTTGAAATGTGATTTTTATAAAGTCTAATTTCCATTCTGAAAAAAAAAATCACAGCAGTCACAACTGAAAGTATCTTAGAATAATAAGTGTGTGTAAAATCAATGTTCATAGTACAAGGTGCATAAAAAGAGATAGAGGATTGATTTTTAAAAAGGAATTCAGACCTTTTTTCTCACATAACGTAGTTAGAAAATTCCTCTACATTAAAAATAAATAAACAAAAACAAAGCCAAAACATGTATTCCTCCTCTATCCCTAGATTTTTTGATTGAAGAAATTGCTCGTGTTTCTCAAATTGAAGACTAAAGGGACTAATATACAATTTTTCTCTTGTTCGGGTTTGTCTCTTTGGAGCGGCCTATGAGCATTCTTCCTTATATATGGCTAATAGGGTTGCCAGGGTGAGAGCAACGCCGAAATGTGAAGCCTGAGGAGCGGGCACCAGAAACAAAATTCGGTTCTCTTGCAAGTGAAAGGAAATTAGTTGAGATTGCCATATTGGTTTTGGCTATTTTTATTTACTAATACTTATATTTTACCATACCGTAGATAAGTAGAATTTTAACAGAAGGAAGAGTGAAAATTAAACTGGGCTTTTATTGAGACATTTGGGAAGTACAGGAATACTCTTAGGCCTTCGAGGCTATCACTGCACTTCAGTCACAGAGGATAGTGGACATGGAAGTCCTAATGGCCAGTTTTCTTTATGAGTCTGTTTTTACCTTTTTTGGGTTTAAGTTATCCAGATAAAACCTTCTTAATATCTTTTCTTGCTTTTCTGAAATTGCATTGCCCTTTATCTCAACAACTTTTCAGGCATTATTGTGTAATGTGTATATGTGTGTTTTTACTCTCCTGCTATATTATAGAATCTGTGCTTTAGTCATGTCCTTTTGCTTTTTTGAACATAATAAGCATAGTACATTTATTTAAAAAATTCACTGTCAGTACATCTTGACCCTGCTTCTGGGCCTTTTTGTATTTCCATATCCTTATTGTATTATTTTTTCTAACTGCATGCATTTATAAAAATTTTTTTTCAATTATTGACATTTATTCCTTTATTCATTTTTATTGCCCTCCGAAGCCAAAATTAATACAGCAAGGAAGGAAATTCCTCTTCCATCCCATAAAAAAAATTATCACAGCTTTTTAAAAGGCTCCTGCTCCCCCAACTTTGTTCTATTATCTTGCTTGAATATAATCCCTTTTTTTAGACATAATTTATTTACAGTAAAGTGTATAGATCTTAAGTGCACAATTTGATGAACCTTGAAAAATGCAGACTTGTTTTACAGAAAGCCCTGTCAAAATACAGGACATTTCCACACCCCAGGGAAAGGTGCATCATGCCCCTTTCCAAAACAGTTCTCACCTCTCCTCCCAGACACAATTACTGTCTTAAGCTTTATCATCGTAGTTTAGTCCCACCTTTATAGATCCTGTGCTGCATGGCAGAATACTGTGAAGAGTCTAGCTTTACTCTGGTAGGCAAATGACTTTACTGGAGTCTCAACTTGATCATTTGGGGCTTGATGACAGTAGGGAGATAGACCAGCTCTGCTCCTCTGGCAATTGTGGAGTTTCATATGAATTCCTAGGGTGTTCAACAGAGTCTCTCCCTCTGGCTGGCGAGGTCTATAATCTGGGCTGTGCCCAGAGCCTCTGCTGGGCTTATACCTCTACAGTCACAGTATGTGTCAGGCCAGTGAAGACTCTGTATACACACGACTTAGAATTTACACAAAGACTCAAGAAGACACACTCAGAGTTGTGCAATTCTCTGTCTAGCTACCTTCTCTCTGATACCCACCCCTTCAAATAACAGCTGTTGTGGTGGCTCAGAACTCCAGCCAGGATAAAGTATCCCTCATTTTGTATATTTTCTTTCTCTCAATGATCAGAACCCTAAATTCTCAGTTTTCCCATTTTGTTCGGTTTTGTAGTTATTTTCAATAGAATTGTAAATCTGATGACCTTTACCACAGCCAGAACTGAAAGCCCCTTATCAGGTTACTTTTTACTTTCTTTTTTTTTGACATCCTGTTTTGGTTGATTAGCCTGTCTTTAAAGATAGAATAAGAATGTGTTCCATATCAATCATCTGTGGTTGTATTTGGATCAAATAAAATAACCATTGTAAAAAATAACTTCCTCTACAAATGATACAACTTGAGAGTAATTAAAATCTTAATTCTTCAGTATATCTTAACTTTTCATAAACATGTAAAGAAAGAATGCAATTCTGAAAAATAATATAATTTGGGTGATAATATCCAGTTATCATTTTTCTCAAACTTCAAACTTTTACAATAAAGTATCCTATTGGCAAAGGAGTCTGTACTGTCCCATAGCAAGTATAAAATTTAAGATGTTAGGTATTTTCTTAAAATTGTATGCACCCAGTAGACATTTACGTTAACTTTAATTAAAATATAACTTTTCTTCCTCACTTCAACTTTTGAGCAAAACTGAGGTGGGAATTTGTACTGTATTAGTTCTATGGCTTCAGTTGTAACATGTATGTTAGTGTACTCTGCTTAGAGAATTACATATGTACAAAATAATGTATGTCTGTATTTGCCTGAGAATTAGAAACATTAATTTGAATATGAATATTTGGTCTCCTTAATTCCAAATGTTATTATTTGGAGGAGCTCTGTTTCACAGTTTTTTTAACTGAATGCTTCTCATATCCATTTTCTAGGAACAACTCTAGCTTAAGACAAAATTCAAGAAAAATAAACATAATATACACACTTTTAAGTAATTGAGTAGAGATTATTACACTCACAGATGAATTGTTAGTAGAGATTTTAAGTGGCAAAGTGTCACCTGTAATTTTGGTACCCTCCATCTTCCTCCCTTAAGACAAATTACTGGTTCAATTTGCAAACATCCTCCCAAATCTTTACAAATGGCTGTTGTCTGCATGTTTCTATAAGGCGTTGTGAATCGAGACTACAGAGAAGATGTAATTTAATCAAGACCAAAAGTTGATTAATTTGGAATAATCCAAACATTTTGGTTACACATTTTAAGAAAAAGAGATTTACTATAACAGCATGAGTATTCAAACATTTATGTAGGGGATATATTCTTGACTCAACAGCTATTTTAAAGTATAGGGCACCTTAAAGTAAACTTCACAAAAGTAGGAGTGAGACTCACTGATGCATTTGTGATACAAGTGCCGCATTAAATATATTTTAAGTCATGTGTTTCAAATATGCTTTAGTCACCTTGTAATACCTACACATGCTTATATTAGAGATGCATTTGCAGCTTATGTAATATAATAACTGGTAACCAATATTCAGATAGACAAATAGCTTTCGGGATATAAATGATTATGTCTAAAAATTCTAATTTTTTTTCAGAAAATTATTAGTTGACAGTTTACATGGACTTTGACATTCTAAACATAATTTTACTTTGATCAATGAGTAAGTTCTCATTGCTGATAGAAATAAATAAATGTGTTGGAAATATTCACAACCTCAGGCCAAATCACAAATGTTTCCAGTCTCTGCATAGAAAATGGATCAATTTGCTGTAGTCAAACTTTATTACACTCTATAATGCCATATACCTTTTTACTAGGCAAAGATTTCTAAGGACTCTATTTAGGAAATTCAAGAATTAACAAAATTTTTTCTTGCCTGAAGAAATTCTTTAAAAGCCTTTTTTAATTTTAACTATTTTTTATATATTTATTACATATATGTTTATTATAGGCCAAAGTTTTTGTAATTTCAGATATATTTTTAATACTGAGATCACAAATTTCCATAATTATCTGATTCTGTATACAATTCTGTGGTATCAAATATTATTCAAATGTATTTATAGATGAGCTTCACTGAAAGTTGACATAAACTGGTATACTCTCATTGAAAACTGGGCTACCTTTTTAACATGTTCCATTCTATTTTTTGTCTATTTTGTTTAATGCTGCAATAGATTATGTTACAGACATAGAAAAACGTTTGGAGTTTAAAATACTATTAAGAATCACTTCTCAGGCTTTTGGTTAAGATCAAGTGTAGTATCTGGTCTTATCAGTTTAGTGTCTAATACATCCTCTATCCAAGAACATATTAAATAGATTTTTGGGATTAGAAGATGGAATAGCAGTTTGCTCCATTCACTCCACACATTGACCTGGTGTGGCAATACTTCCAGGAAAGAAAAAAAAATGCTATCAAAGAAAATGCTTTTCTTTGGCAGCAGTGCATTTATGTGGTTTGAATACCCACTCTCTGTTGCAGAATTTCAGTTAAACTGAATGTTAATGGTTGCACATCAGCTCGGTTTCAGATACAGGCAGACCTGTGTTCCCAACTATGCTAGAGTGCCACCTTCTGTAAATGAAATGCTTCTCTAAATGTCACATTTATCGTGACTGTGATAGTAGTATAACTTGGCACTAAGAAAAATCATGCCTCATGAGAAATATTTTTCTTTTAAGCAAATATTATATTCCCCACTTTCCCCTGCTTCACAGGTTGGAGTTAAAGGAGTCACCCATGTGTGGTAAATGCAGAAAAAGTGAAAGATGTTTTGACTGCTCTATAAGGAATGCATTTCTGTCGATTTTTACTTTCTCTCTTGTTAAAACTAAATATCAGAATTTTTCTGCTTCTCAGATATGTGACATTTTTATACCTGGTCATAGTACATAGAAATATGTAACACCATGGTTAACACTATTAAACATATTCCAAGGCTAATTAATAAATATATATTTTGTTTGCCGTAAGCCTTTTTCTGACTAATTCTAACTTTGTCAAGTTAGTTAAACTTGTAATTGGCTAGAGTTCAAATTTAAGTCCAGGGCATCCCACATTTACCACCTCCAAGAAAATAATATTTTCACTCTAACTGTATTAAAATGTTTTTAAAGGAACTATTGGTGTTTCTTAAGTGTCATTTATTTAATTAAAAAAATAAGGTGAAGATTTTAACATTTCTAATTCTTGTTTTCTAATTCTGGTTATTTGAAGACTGTAGCTACACAGTCTAGTTAAATAATCTTAAAGGTATCATACAAACACTTGCTGAATTTAGAGGAACAAAATTATTGTACTGAACAACTGCTCTGCCCATGGCAGATATCACTAACTGATCTTGGCTCTATTTCTCACTAATTCAGCAAACAGTACATACAAAGCTTTACTCCAAATAGCTACTCTCAATAAAATTGAGTTCATTTATGAGCTGAAGCTAATGGATTATTGAGGCCATAGAGGAACTGCAAGAAGGATGAAAGGAAAATACTTGTAGTGGAAGTGGGAGAGAGAGATGAGCAAGAGTAATATCAACTTTAAGGGAAAGGTGGGAAGACAGCTGCTTTATTAATATAATTTAAGTGGGCAGATAGCACTGATAGTCTCAAATTATCATCAGTTAAATCCCACTATTAAATGTTCATTCTTTGCAAGTAATTCTTATTTAACAGGAAATGCCTTTGAAGTAAAAAATATAATACTATAGCAGTCGTCAACAATTTTACCACACTTATTTCTTAAAACTATTAGTTTCCTTCTTTTCCTGGAGGGATGTGGGAAAGGGAGAAGGGAAGACCAAATTTTTGAGCACATGTGCAGGCCAGTGAGAACAAAAGCCATAGTGAGAGCGAAATAACAGATAGATTACTTGGTCTAGGAGTAAATTCAAAGACCCTTCAAGCCTGTTAGGTGCCAGATACTGTTTGGTGTGCTTAGGATACCCAGAATAGGTGCTAGAGTCCAAATAACAAAAAGCGCCCCACGGTGTCAGAGAGAATCACATCAAAGAAGGTGGTTGGGACCATTTCATTGAATTTATTATTATGCCCTCAAGTAGTACAGAGAAAAAATTGAGGACAACTTGCAAATAAAACAAAATTCTCTTGAGAAATAAACTTAAAACCAGTACCTAATGGGTCAGAAAGAAAATAAATCATCTCAACGAGACGTATGACAAAACCAAGACATATCCCAAAACATTGTCTTTATATATAATGACCATCGTATATATAAAGAATATGATGATCTTCAAGGTGATTGGTCAGTAAAAGAAATATACAAAAAAGCAGCCATGGAGTCAAAGTTGAAGGTCCCTTCCCTAATATTGCCCATGTTAATCACGGATGTTTATTGTGGTTCCAAGTTGATTTAGGAGCTGGGAGTGAGAGAGAGAGAGAGAGAGAGAGAATTTACAGGTTTTTGTAATTTAAAAATTAAGAGGTACAGTTGACTTCAGACACTGCTGGATTTAAGTATTCAGTGCTATCATCAGGACCTGGTCTTTCTTTCTTCCTGTCTTGCCTCTGCTTCCCTCTGTGTCTGTTCCGTTCTCTGGTGCCCCTGTCAGCTCTCAGATACCACTTCCATAATTTACAATCCAGAAAGTCAGATTCTGCTTCTCACCAATTCTCACTAATTTGAAACTCATTGATTCTATTTGTCTTGGCTCCCACGCCTATAGATGTTGGGCATGTCACAAAAGAGATATCCACACATCTGAAGAAACAAACCTTTCACATGCACTTCCATAGTCTAAACCTGGGTTTCCTGAATCTCTAGTTCTGGGAGACATCACATTGTCGGCCTCCCTCCTCCACAAAAAAAAAAAAAAAAATCTCTTTTTGGAAAACAAGACTTTTGAGATTTTTCTTATACATCAAGAATAAACACTGGCATGCTAAAAAGCTGTGAGAAATCCTGCAATAAGGAAGCAAATTTCTAGAAATTATTGAGTATACATTATGTTTTACACAGCATATCATTATTCTTCATTAGCCCATTATGATATGATTTGGGAAATTCTGGGGTAGACATTCTCCAACATAAAAATAAATGATTCTCATCATCTTAGTTGCCATCAAATATTCAAATCATACATAATATTTATGTTTTTTTTTTTTTGCTTTAGAGTCTGCCAGGCAAACAATTGATTATAATTTGAGTTTCTGTATAAGTCAGCCTATTGGGAGAGAATTTTTGACCGTTAGAGATGTTTTGACCATCAGAGAACATCAGAAAATTCCAGTTTGCATTTCCATTGTTAATGGTAAATTGCTAAATTGCATTTTTACACCAATGATGTAACAGAATGCTGTAAAAAAATACAGAGGAAGCCTAACAATTTTATCATATAATATTGTAATATAAGTAAATCTTTCCACTATGAAGTTTCTTTTCTGTGTTTAATTATATTGTACCCACATAAAAAAAAGTGAAGTACAGGTATTAACTTTGAGTTAAATGTGAGTTCATTGGAAATAAGAGGTAATAAAACATTAAGAATAAAAGCACTGTAGTTGTTGAGAACTACTTCCATAGAACTATATATTATAGAATATGCCTTTTCTCTTTTTCCATAGTGTTTTCCTAATCTTTTGGATCACATACGTCCCCAATCAAATACTTAAAATACACATGTCCATTTAATCTCTTATAATACTGTTCAGTTCACATGTTTTATCATTTGACCCTCACACAAATTCTGTTAAAAAGACTGGGCAAACAAAAATACATCCCCTTTATAGATGAAACATTGAGAGCCAAAGGAATATAGGATTTGCCTGAGAACACAGGGAAAAAAAAATCTGGAAATTTCATCCAGATATTTGACTTCAAGAGGAATCTTTTATAATAATCTACCTTGTTAATTTTTTTTAAAAAAGGAGATCATGCTTTCTCCTTTCCAGAAACCATCAGTATTATGTTTTATCTATGCTGTATGTTTTGTATCTAACTCTATATTGTCATACATTGTTTCTGAATGGTTTTTTTAAATTAATGTTTATTATTACGAAGGTATTGTAAGTGTCCTGAAGACAAGACTACGTTTATTCCTTAGTTATTCTCCATAGATCCAAGCAACTGATAGCATTGTAGCAGTGCTAGCCATATCTCATCAAACGATTAGGAGTCCTAGCACTTTCTCATTCAGTTAACACTTTAAAAATCACTTTTAGAAAGATAATGAAAGATACCAGAGAAAATATCTAATTCATGGTCTTCTGAATTATGATAGTTCACAGAGACCCAGAAATCAGGTATGAGATGAACTAAAAATTCTAGTAAAAATAATACAAAGTTTGTGCCTACTAAATTTTCTATTTTATTCTACTCTTTTAGTGTATTAGAATCTATAATATCTATTTCTACTAAGGGTTTGACCAGACCTGATTGTACTGGAATTACCTGAGGTGTCTTTTAGTCTGTGTTCTTAATTTCTGATTATCTTGTTTCTTCCATTACTAGCAGTTAATTATCTACTTTATTATATATTATTGAATTTTGGGGAAAAAGTCTTTTTCTACTCTTCATTTTCTTTGGCAGATAAAGTTATTTTACTGGAGTCTATATCTTTAATTTACCCAAATCACTTTGACAGCTAATATTCTTCTATGACTATTTTTATACTAAACTCTTTTATTAGAGCCTCTATGTCTCCTGGTATCACACTGCACCCAGAACTAGAACTGTCACTTACCCTTCCACTGAACATAAGCTTAGAAGGCAGGGGTTCAGTCATAATTTCCTTTATATTTCTTTTATCTCTAGTAATATCTAGTACATAAACATACTCATATACATGAGCACATTACTCATTAACACATATACATTATGTTTATACTCATAAACATTAACAAACATATTAATGAGTTTATAAGTGTCCTTTAAATATTATTAAAGGGACAGATTCAGTGAGAAGCCCAGTGTTACATTTAGATTTTCCGAATTTGAAATTCTATTTGAAAATGCAAGTAACATAGGAAATAGATATTCTCATTAAAAATGAAAGCTAGTTTCATAAATAAGAAGATAAAACAATCCAAAGTAATGGCTCTATAATTAGGACTTTATTTTACCACTGGTTTCTCGAGGGCTCAGTATTCATTCTCACTAATTACTGTTCTTCAACTGCACACTCTACTTGCGACTAAAATGTCTATCTTTATATTTTCATGTTTCTAAATTTCTATTTTACCCTCTATTTCTTTGAATTTGATTCATTCTTTGGACCAGGTGGGAATCAAATATTGACTTTGACTACATCACTTAAACTTTTTGAGTTAAACAATCCAATCTCTAAAAGAAGGGTTTCAGTAACTATGTACATAACTAAGTGCTCACCGTGGTAAGTATAGTGACCCTCTCTTACCATGCCAAGGTATTACAGTGTTATTGGTTATAATCTCTATG